GGGGGGAAGAGACATTAGGGGAAGAGAGAGAGAGAGAGAGAGACCGCTGGCAAGGATTCGCCGACTCCTGGGCACGCCACCATCTGGTCCTCCGCCAACTGGATGGCCAGGTCCAGCGACGCCGGGCGGTGGCACTGGACCCACTCAGCCGTCTTCTTCGGGAGACGGCCGATAAACTGCTCCAGCACCACACGGTCGAGGATCTGCTCGGCGTTGCTTTCCCCCGGCCAGCAGCCATTTGCGGCAGGCGTCCCGGAGCTGTTGAGCCAACACGAAGGGCCGGCCACTTTCACCCAGATCCAGCGACCGAAACCGCTGGCGATGCTGTTCTGGGCTCCGGCCGACCCGCTGCAGGATAGCTCGCTTCAGATCGGTGAAGACCAGGAGGTTTTGAATGGGCAGTTGTTGGGCCGCCACCTGCGCCTCCCCTGAAAGCAGTGGTATAAGACGCACTGGCCAGTGACCCGCATGCCTCGGCCGACTTCTCGAAAAGATCGAGGAAAGCCTCTGGATCGTCCTGTGGTCCCATTTTGTTCAGGGGCAGATGAGAGGGGCCGACGGTGGTCCTCGATGTCTGCCCTCCTGCCCGACCCTCCTGGTCCATCCAGCTCCCGGTCCTCCTGTTGCGCCTGCATCAACGCGTGGAAACGACGTTCCTGGTCATCCCGCATTTCCAGCAACGCCTGATGCTGCTCTTGGTGGAGGCCAGCGAGCGATTGTATCACTTCCGCAAACGGCGAACTTGGCGGTGACTGCATGATGGCAGCGGCCAGACTTCTTCCCTCTCGGGTTTCGGCACCAGTGTAATGAGGTTCTTAGTAAGGAAGGAAGAAGTCGGAGTCAGCGTGACTGAGGCTCGTGGCAATTTATTATGGTTCCCTTGGGAACAGCAAAAACAGGCAGGCGCTCAGGCGCATCAAAATAAACAAAACTTATATCGCACTTCTTCGGTTCTCTAGCCACAGGCCACAGTCTTTCCCCACGAGTCCTCAGTCTGTCTCGTCTCTCCCTCTCTGCTTCCCCTGAGGCTTTTTACAGTCTCTCCAGGCCAATCACTGAAACGAGAAGCAGGTGAATGTCATTTTGCACTTGACCTACTTACTCACCCCTCGTCTCAGACCGCTCTCTCCCGCTGCAGACTCCGCTAAACCACGCCCCCCTCACCACAGCAATATATTGGACACAGCTTTAAAATATAAAGTTCATTTGTCAGTCATACATAAATGAAACATAAAAATAAGTCAAGTCAAGTCAGCTTTATTTGTATAGCGCTTTAT